TTTAATCAAAACACCATCATCAGCTAAGCACCGTCAGCTGCCAGTATGGAGCGCAGCAGCTGGAGTGGCAGTGAGAGTCCCGGTGAGGACATGGACAGACTCAGTGATTCAGGAGGGGACAAGACAATGGATGGGGACCCTGAGGGGGTCTGGAGCCCAGACATCGAGCAGAGCTTCCAGGAGGCCCTTGCTATATATCCGCCCTGTGGGAGGAGGAAGATTATACTGTCAGATGAAGGGAAGATGTACGGTGAGTAGCTTAAGCTGGCCTGAGATGTCGGCACACACCTTTTGTAATTTCTTACAAAATGTCTCTATTTTACTAAAGCTTAGATGCTTTAAATGTTGGCGTTTCAGATGCCTCAGGATGGTAACTTTCTACTTTTATTGTTTGGATATATTGTTTTTTATCTCTGTTTATAAGAGCCATGTGTAATATATTACTACTGAAAAAAAAACAAAAAAAAAAACATCCTCGGACAAGAAAAACAGGCATCGATTGACTGACTTGTTAAATTTTCTGGTGTGAGGAGGCGGCGGTGACAATAACCACGTAGAAGGTGGAGATGGAAGATTGTCTCACGGCGCATCAAGTGTCAGAGAAACGGGAATGAAACATAAGCTGTAAAAGCGAGGAAATGGAGGCATGCTGTACTGCTTTGTATGTGTGTGTGTGCGTGCGCACGCGCGCGTGTGTGTGTGTATGAGTACGAGAGCGTGACAGAAGTGGGAGAGTATTTGTGTGTTTGAACTAATAGACTGATGAACAGATGGTCCTCTGGCTACCACCAGCTGCGTCCCCCTTCGACTCCCTTTTACTGTTTTTCTTTTTCTTTTTTTTTTTCTTAACTCTCTCTATATGTAGAGCACAGCCTCAAATCTCTTTATTACACTGTTTTTTCCCTGTATTTTATGTAGATTGTTCTGTATTTTATGTAGATTGAATCATTGTTTTTATAACAGCATCGAAGAGGTCAGAGGTTTACAGTGTCTCTGCATCAAACATCATGTTAGATGAAAATATTGATAAATCATATAAAGAATTTCTGTTGAATTTCTTCCTTCCAAAATGTGATCATTTTCTTCAAAATAAAACTTTTTTGCATAATGTTCTATCACGTCCTGAACAACTAGACTCTACAACCACTTAACCACAACCTAACCATAACATTTCTAACTGAGCACTCATAGCGCTTAGTTAGTACTTGAGCCACATTCACTCAGTCCGACACGCTCAAGCCCCTTCAAATGGAATTGAACCAATTGCAAGATATTACTCCTCTCACTGAGCCGCAGTCGTCTCAATGCCTGTCTAATTTTACGTCATTTATAATTTAGACTGACTTTTTAGTTCTCCAGGAACTGTTTCTCACACCGTTCCTGATCGCACAAAGCTTGTGTTTTCCCTTTCGGTGGAAAGCGGCTAGAGGTGAACCATTGTTGAAAGAAAGCCACAAGAACAGACATTTGCATTTTACCACAACACTTGTACACAGCAAACATGTGGAAGTGGGTTATCTGGTCAAATGATGCCATGGTTCATTTTCTGGCCTACATGCAAAATGTAGGTCCAAGACATTGGACATTATCTTGAAGAGACAGTCCCCTCTATGAGACATGGAGGTAGCAGCATCGTGCTTAGCGATGGTTTTCCTCTGCTTGGGAAGGGAAACTAGTCAGACACTCCTGAAAACAAATGTGTTAATGGCTACAAAAGTTCACTTTCTTTCTGGCCACAGACCCTAAACGTACACCCAGAGCTGCATTAGAATCATGTAGTCTAGACTTAAATCCAAATTCAATTGAGAGATTAAGGCAAGATTGTTAGCCAGGTGCTCTCCATCCAATCTGATTAATCCTATTTTTTTCTAAAGAACTGATATTGCTGTTAATCTTTCTATGCGCAGCTGTAGTAGAGACATCAGAACTCTTGCTGCTGTACATGATATTATCTCCATGGGACTGAATACAATTGTGACACCCGTTTTATGTTTACTTTAGAAAAAAAAAATCAAAAGCATAATTTCTTTACCTTAACAATATGCACTATTTTGTGTTTATTTATGACATACAATCCCATTGAAATACACTATAGTTTTCAGCTGTTATTTGACAAAATGTGAAGAAGTTTGGAGTATGATTATATTTGCAAGGCACTGGAAGTCGCTCAGTGAACAAGAAAATAATCCTCAAGCATCATTTGTATTATGCAAACATGCTTGGTTTCATGCAACTGCCTCCCAGCAATTTCCTAAAACAAAAGTTAATTCGGCATGCCTGTCAAGGCATCATTAATGGTGCTTTATGGTTGTTTCACGTGTAGACAAAAACAGCGTAGTGTACCTTTAATTTCTTTCAGCAGTCCAGGGGACAACAGACCCTGCTCAGATTGTCGCAGACGCTGAAATATAACCCTGTCAGGATTCATCATGGCTGACCTGCTCAGGTCCCACTGATACTGGAACTCCTTCTCCAGCCCCTTTGTGTTATTGATCAGTCTCTGATCAATCGGACCGTGTCTGTTTCCTGCCTGGGTGGCATGTTCCACCCTGTTTGTTTACCTTGTTGACTCTGTGTCCAGGTTGTTGACACATCTTATCCAGGTGACCTAATCAAGTCAGACAGTGTTTTTTTTTTTTTTTTTTTTTAAGAGGCAGGCCAGGAAAAGCATAAAGGATAAAAGGGGTGTGAAGTATTTGAGAGCGATGGGGCTTTAATCAAACTGCAGTCTGCTTGGGATTTTGGTTCAATTCTGAGTGAATTCTCTTCTTTCTTACTTCTTCTTCTTTTTTTGCATTGGTCTATTACAAAAGACAGAGATGGCAAAAAGGCACAGCAAGCTTTTTTTTCCCCGGAAAGAATCTTGTATTTATTTTTTAGTTTTTTGGTTAAAGCAAAAGTTTATCTTAGCTGTTTAGTTGGACTGTCTTCAGTCAGATGTTTAACAAGTCAGGCTTGTTGTGGCTTGTCTACTGTGGTTTAAAAGAAGCCTTACCTTCAAAATGTCTTTGAATGTCAGAAAATATAACATTTAACATAAAGGAAAAGAAAAAAAACCCACTCCATTGGCACTGCCTGAGTGACAGAATATTTGCTATCCAAGCTTGAAGTTGTAGAAATCATTTCTAACCCTAAAATCAGAAGTCTGCATGGCTGCCTTCAAACTGTTCAGTAAAAATGGCCACCAGCTCTTGTTAAACTTTCCACTACAACTCATTTAATCATATTTACCTGTGGAGAAAATGAATATTAACATTTTTTCAAAGTATCTCTAAATAAACTTTAGATGACCAAAATAAGTAAATAATAATAATAGCAGAAATAAAATTGTCTGGATTATATTCTTGCAGAAGATGAAACAAAATATGTCTTTTTTTTTTCCAAATATTCTTTAAAATGAAATCTTAATGTAGATTCACTGCCTTGTTTTTATTTGCTTTTCTTTTTAAATGCCAAGTTTTGCATTTAAAAAAAAAAGTCGCCGTCTTCACAGTAAACACTGCTGATGTCACCTTGCCACCTGTTACGCCGTGCAGGTTACATTACCTGGCAACAAATCATTCACAGGGATTTGTGAGTCTTTACAGGAAGTGGCAGATTGTTGGTAATAAGTCAAAGATTAACTTCTAACCACAGCTGTTATAATTTTTGCAAACGCGTATGAAAAGAAAAGAAAAAAAAGCTCAAGCAAATGAGATGAGATCTAAGAGCTTAGTACTTTCAACACTTTAAATGTCCCTGCTGATGTTGCAACAAGCACCAGCTCGGTGCAACGCGGCGGTAAATTCAGGCTGTGAGCCAGAGTCTGGCCCCTGTGGCCCTTAGGGTCACCTCAGGGTACTCGGTACACTCAGCTGCAGCCTTGTTGGCAAGTATACTCACCCAGGATTTGACCTTATTCTGAAAGGGGTTTTCAAGCTATTCCATAAAGCAGCTGAAGCTCTTAATCACTCTGCAAACTGAGCGAGGAGATCAACACAGTACACTGCTCTAAAGACGGGAAGAGGGAAGATCCATTTCTAACTACATGAAACACAGGAAGCTGGGGATTTTCCTGAATTAATTACCCATTCTCTCAGATTTCTGCTTGTTCTGAATGCAAATTAGCGGAACTTTTCCCCAAAGTTTCTGCTGTTTTAGAGACTCTCATAGAACTTAGGCGAGTTCACTTTAAAAAAGGGAGTTGAGATTGTGGAGTTTCATCTTTTTGTTTCAAACTCATGTTCCAACATCAACCAAACAAAATGAGTCACAATCGCATGAAAACATTACAACTGTTTTTTTTTTTTTTCTACTTTTCGAGTGTGCGGCCTGCATGAATGTCAGCTTTCACGCCGAGTGGCCTCGGCCCAGAGGCGGAGGGGAGGGAGAGCAGGAGGTTGCTTCTGTTCGTCACGGTTAATGACCATCTGACTTTGGCCTTGAAGTCTTTCACTGTAGAGAGGGAGGAAGCGAGAGGCAGCAGAAGGGAAGCCCATTCACTACAAGGGGGAGCAGAGAAGTAGGGAGGGGGGGAAGGGAACAGCCACCAGAGAGGACGGACGGATGGATGGAAGAAAAGAGCGAGGGAAGGAGGGAGGGAGGGAGTTAAGTTTGTGCATGTGTGTGTTTGCAGGCTGGAGAGTTTTTCGAGAAAGAGGGGAGGGCAAGAGTGAGGGATGTGTGCCGCAGGGTTAGTGAAGGATGATAATTCACCGTTAAGCCTCCTAGAAAGACCAGCTGGCCCCTCTGGAGTCAGATGTCAGCCTCCACAGCCAGGGCTCTGTGCGCGTGTGTGTGTGTGTGTGTGTGTGTGTGTGTGTGTGTGCTAGTGCTCATGAATGTATATACATTGATGTTTGCGTGCATGCTGTCGTCAGCCACAGCTTTCAACTGCTAGAAGGAAAACACCTGCATGGGGAGCTGTAGATTTTATCAGTCTAAGCTCCCTATCTCAGTGACAGTAGAACTGGTCAGAAAACACACACACGCACACACACGCATGCACACACACACCGACATGCATGCATGCAAATGCACAAACACCATCTGCTTGCTAGTTAGGGCTATTGTTGTGAGCCATTTGGGTAGTGTGTAGAGGTTTGGCTTTGTGCAGATCTTGACCATCAGTTGGCCAGCTGGCCTGACTTTGCTTTTCCACTCGGTTGCAACAGAAGACAGGCCAAGAGAGGACCCAAATCAAACCAAACGGCTCCAAATCAGCTCGTTAGCAGCACTCGCAGCATCTGCAAATCTATCTCATTTCACAAATAAACTGCGACTTCAATTTTTAATCACTCTAAAGTTGTTGTGGGTCTGACTGCGGAGGCTGCCTGTGAAATTTTCTACCATGTTTCAGCGCACAAACACGCCTCTGTCTCTGGTTTCTTCTGGATTTGAAGCACTTTTTTTTTCTTTTTTTTTTTCCTTTCTGTGCCCTCTTTTTCCTTACTAATCTATACTAGCCAGGTCATGCTGAGTTTGCTGTGCTCCCTTGTGAATGGGCTGAATTATTCAGTATTGTAAGTATGTGTGTATCTGCATCTGTGCGTGCACATATGTGCGCACACGTAAGCACAAGTACAGCTGGCCTGCTGGTTCCTTTAATCAGGGGACGGCCGGTCCGCATGAATGCCTGCATTGTTGGGTCATGTGTATTCAGGACCGTTGCGTGTGTGATTTGTGTGTGTGTGTGTGTGTGTGTGTGTGTGTTTGGTGAGTGTGTGGAGAACTCAACAGGGGTATCGGTGATTACAGCCTTTCCATGTGAAAGTGCACGTCACAGGATCAGTGGGTCAACAGCTCTTAATCAGCCACTAAGTTGTTTGTCAGGGTCATATGATTTCTACTGGTGATTGTTTCTGAGAATAAGCAACAGATCAAATGTGTGTATGTGAAGGTAAAAAAAAGAAAAAAAAAGAAAAGAAAAGTGTTTTAGTAGTGTGTTTTCTGTCTCCTTCCTCCTCCAGGGCGAAACGAGCTGATAGCCAGATACATCAAACTCCGAACTGGCAAGACGCGGACAAGGAAACAGGTAACTATGGGAGTGCGTGTTCAGTCAAATCATTCTGTCTGCAGAGAGTGTGACAGGATGTTGTAGAGAACGTCCACTATGTGATAATGATGCCAAACCAATTGAAACAAGGGCATAGAAAGCAGAATGGTCAAGGAAAGAGGGAAAATTACAGAAAATTTAAAGCATTATTTTATATCTCTCCAGTTTACAACCATGGCATGTCAGAATTTAGAAAACACTTCTTAGATAAATAACTTTATTAAAGTTAAAATTATTTATTAAATAATTTATTGTGACCTCTGTGAACTCAGCTGTTGATTTAATTAATGAAATTAATATTCTGAGAACCCATAACTTCAGAATTTGGCAGCTACTGTCTTACTAGTTTTTTTTTTTTATTATTATTTTTTTTTGCCAAACTATTAGTTTCACGTAGATCACAAGGTTGAATCTGGACAGTGAGAGTTGATTAAATCCACTAGAGTTCTGTAAACAATTTTAGAAGAAGCAACATGTTGATCAGGAGAGGATTTCATTAACAAATCAGGACTAGAAACAATTCTTACTTTGTATGCTTAGATTTAAAATAAATGTTTTCAACCATATAATTTGTTTTAAATACTATAACAAGATAAAAAAAAACAAAATAAAATGGTTTGTGTTCAATGAAAAAGAACACAAACCATTTACATTTTAAATGACTTTTTTATTAAAAGTGGTATGTCATGTTAGGTATACCCTTGTCTGAGCTGCCGGCCTTCGAGAACATGTTAAACATGTTGCTAAGACTAAAAGATTACATTAAACCTAAATCTGACAGAGGTAAGAGTTAAGTTGGGTTTTATGGTATGCAGGCTTATAAAGAAAAGAACAAATTAGGAATTGTGCCCCGTTCAGTCTACTCACTGTTCAGCACAGCCTCTATAAGAAGAGTCTCTGCTCCAGAGCCTCTTTGTTTCTAAATATATGCCCGACTCAACACAAGTTATCAATTAACTCGTGTCTTCCTCTGGCTTTTGTTTAGACACATTTTGCTTAACTGCTAGGCTAAAGTTAGCACCTTTCCTCTGTTTCACTTTCACTGTGAACATTGTTGAAAGACATAGAAACATGGTTATTGCTGTGGTAACCCCACATTCCTCCTATTAAAAGGTCATTATGTAAAACCTTAGCAGCATAATTTCTAATGTAGAACCTAGTTTGTTTGTTCGTACAGATAAGTGAAGTTTACAGGTTTTGTGCTACAGAAGAAATAAGGCTAAAAAAAAACATGTTTTTGTTAGTTATTCCTATATGTCGGTGCCACTGCTTTTCACACACAACCCAGTTTGTTGGCAGATTTTTGGGCAGGACCTAACGTGGCAGTACAGTCTAGATCTTGGCCCCTGTTCTCAGGTGTCTTTCTGTCCTCTCAAAAGATGTGCATAGATGGGTCTATTCACTCTTCTCAGGGGAGTGCATTGTGTGAAGTGTGTGTCTGTGTGTACACTTCTAGTATAGCAACAGTCCTTTCATAACCATGGCAACTCTCTGTTTGGTCTTTCCTCCTCTTTTCCACCCTCCACCCTCCCTTCCTCCTCTCCTCTCCTTCTCTCCTTGCCAGGTATCCAGTCACATCCAGGTCTTGGCCAGAAGAAAATCCAGGGAGTTTCAGTCCAAACTAAAGGTATGGGGGAGGCTGATGGGAATCCGCAACGTTAACTTTCTTGTTCGATAATTTATTTCCTGTTCAGTGTCTCTTATCACGCAGTAAGTGTTGCTTTGCAAGTCCTGCTTGTTTGGAAGAAAAACAGCTGATATGTAAAGATCAGTCCTGATGGCTGCATTGGAAGAGCAGGATGAAAAGCCACCAAACCCAGATAGCTTTCTTTTCCCCTAATAAGCAAGAACAATCTAAATTCAGTGTTTCTCCCTCACTGTGACTGGAAGGATGCCTGTCACAGTGACTCCAGTATCCTAGGTGTCTAATTACCCCCTGTTTGGGTTTTCTCCTCCTCCTCTTCCTGCCATTCTTCTCTTTCCTTACATTCATTCAGCTCTTCCTATTCTCTCTCCTCCCCTCTTCTTACCATCTCCACCTCTTAAGTCTATTAATCTCTTACCCTGCGTGTCTTGTCCTTCTTTCCTTCTTGTCATTGACTGTAATTAACTTTATTTAAAGCAACGAAAGGGGAGCTTGTTTTCCGAGAAGTCGTCTAGCCGGAAACTCTGAGCTGATGTTTGCTGTCATAAAATGAATGATGGAAGGCTTATTAAAAGCGAGAGTAAATATGTCTTGACTTGACGTTGGATTTTAAAAGTCTACACACTCGCTCTAAACCCTAAAGCATTATATATATGTTCTACTGCACAGCAAAGACCACTATCAATAAGCTCAGAAAATATGGAATGTTGGTGATGTTACAAAAAGGGAGAATTTTGCAACCTTTGTGAAAAGGGAAAACATAAAGTGGTCGGGGAGGCAGCCAGTAGCTGTAGGGATTTGTGGCGATTACTCTATGTGAGCTACAACAATCTAGTGTGTCGTCTGTATACAAAATCGGCTTGTGAGGTAGAAGCTTTCTTTAAAAACAACAACAACAACAAAAAAACATGCAGGCCAGGCTAAAATCTTTAATGATTTTGTGGAAAAATGTATTAAGGTCTAGTTAAACCAAACAAACATTTGGACCCAATTCTATTAGATGAGTTTGGAATAACGTACACTACTATGCCCTCAGTGAAACATGGTAGTGGCAGCATCATGTTATAGGGTTACGTTTTGCTTATGAAACAGTTTTTCTTTTTTTTTTTTAGCTGGATTAAGTTACAACCCAGAACTGTTAAAAAAAAAAAAACACAAAGAAAACATGCCAATAAACCAGAAGAAACTTAAAAGCTGATTTGTTTACCTTATCCCTTTTGCAAAAACAGATTATCATATGCATTGTGGAGTCAGTTGTTGTCTTTGTACACTCAAACTTAAAATAAAAATATATTTATTTACACTTTTATGTAAATTTGATCCTCTTCACTGTGACCAGTTATTGGAGGGTTGAAACAGTCATAATTGTAAAGTTATCTAAAACCCATGGAAAATTTTTCATAATTGAGCTTCACTGTCTCCAATAAAATGGGTAAAAAAAAAGTCCAACTTAAATTCCACTCATAAATGAATTCATGAAGATTCATTAAAGGAATAAATAACACAAAGCAATTCTTTGTTTTTCAGCTAAGGAAATTTGCTTGTCAAATTACTGTTTTATTTCCTTAAAATAACCTGCTTTTATCAAGTGAGTGATCATTAGAAAATTCAGGACTTACCACTTAACTATAAGTTCTTTAAACTTTCATATTAAATGTTTTTTGGGGGTTTTTTTGTATTATTTGGAAACAAAAAAAATCAAAGATCGGCATCTGGATCTTGGTATTTAACATGAAAATCCAGTATGATTCCTATCTCAGCACCTTCTGTAATATTATTATATCTCCCAGGAGGGGAGATTTCTCTCTGTGCCAATTAACTTGAGTGAAGCTGCCAATTAGTGATTCTCCAGCTATCACAGTGCCTCTAATTCTGTTTCATTCAGCTGTTTTGTGTTCCATGCTGCTTTTACCCTAAGGTTAAATATCTGATATGCTTTTCGTTACTGTTTGCGCCAACAGCTGCTTTTACTGTGTTGCATTAAGCTTCACCGCACAATTCATGATTGTTGCAACCTTTTTTTTGTGTTTGTGGAACTTACATTTTTGCTGAATATATTCCCCCACACTATGCAGCCATTCAGTTCAGAGCGCGATGCACGCTCACAATAACGATGGCGTTGATGTCTGTGTTTGCGTGCAGGACCAGAATGCCAAGGAGAAAGCTCTGCAAAGCATCTCGTCCATGTCCTCGGCTCAGATCGTCTCGGCCACCGCCATACACAGCAAGCTGCTGCCTGGAATAGTGCGAGCCAGCTTCCCCGGCAACGCTCAGGTACAACGCGCGCGCGGTTGCACAGAGACACGCTTGCGTTTGTCCTCAGCAAATAAATACGTGGCCGGGAACGGGGATAACAATAAAGCAGTTTGTCTGAATAATCTATTAGCCACACATGCGTAGTTATGGGTGCCGGTTACACAGAGGAACGAGCACATTGCTTTGCATTTGCAGTTTGCATTCACCGTGTGGTACATTAATATGTGAATTTATTTTCAGCTGTGGCAGGGGATGATTCCAGGAGGGCAGTCCAGCTCCACCACAGAGGAGTGAGTCACATTTCTAATGCGTTCTTATCTAACTCACTGCTGTAAATTCAGCTGCTCATTGGTCCTTCCAGGAAATCCTCATGTTTTCGGGTTCTCAAATTTCACTTGTTGCAAATTAATTAAAGAAAAAGAAATAAAAAAAAAGTATTAATATTTTGTTATCAAATACTATATCTATTTTATTCCATCATGTAGTTTTATTTATTTATTTTTTTTCTACAAAATCAGCTTGGCAGAATGAAGGCAAAAAAAAATGTAACAAAGGTAAATAGGAAGGAGGCACGTTGTTTTGGTTAAGCAGCAGAGACTAAAAATCTAAACAGCCTTCATTATCTAAGACTGAAAATAGTGTCAGTAAATGCAACAGGTTTATACTCTGAATGTTGACAGAATTCCCCATAGTCACCATAGTCAAAAAAAAAACATGAGGTTTACTGTGACCTTTATGTACGTCAAGAAAACTGTACTTCAGGTTTGTAGGTCATTTTCCATTGCTGCATTGATTTGTGCCATCATACCCACAGTGCTTCAGCTTTAAGGAGACAATAATATTACTGTTTGGTGATGTCACGTTTTCTAAATCCAAACACCCAAATGTCAGCAGACTATATGTTCACCCTTCAACCTTCATATGTGTTGCAGATTTACATAAAAAAAAAAATATATATATATTCAATGATATTTTTTTTTTCTTTTTCTGATAGGATTTTTGACAGGCATCTCTAAAGATGATAACCGAACAATGTATGTCAAGTTTGAAAAATAAAAAAGATAATTTAGGTTTTTGTTTTGTTAATTGAACAATAGCATACTGAAATGTATTTATATCATTCTCTTAAATAGCTTTTTATTAGAGCCTTAAAGCCTAGTTTTAATTGCTGTCCAACTTTCATCCCATACTGTAAGGATTCATCTCTGAAATATCTTCTGAAATATTAATAGCATTTTCAGTCAGGAAAAAAAAATAGTGGTAAAATTAAAATGTTACTTTAAATATAAAATTAACCAGAGACGGAGATTATTTTGGCCTTAGTTCCTCATCACTAACAACATCTTTCAATTGGGGCTACTTTCAACGTCTCTAATTTTTTTTCTTTTTCATCAATACAAAATTGTATTGAGGGCATCAATGTGATTTTGAAGATATGGAGAAGAGCGCCTTTTTTCTGGAGACGGAAAAACATCAAAGACTTCAGTTTCATTTATTATGCATCTGAATCTATAATCAGACTGTATCTGCATGATTGTCCCAGCTTATGATTCAGAAACAATTAACTTGATTAATTCACACGGCTGATGCGTTGAATCTGTCTGCCACCATATTGGCAAACACTGATTACCTAGTCAATGCCAACTTGACGACCACCTGTTGAGTTTAAAATTAGGTGGAAATTTTAAAGCCTGCCTCCTGCTGCTTCCTTCTCTTGCTTTAATGTCTGTTAATATAACTCATAGTATTTCACTGCCTGTTGTACTATTGGATCTGATGAGAATGGCAGCAATCGGGGCTGTGGCAGCTTTCATTGAACGCAGAGCTGCTCTTGACCTCTTCGCTCCTGCTTTGGTTCAGACACGACAGAGAACAGAAAACTTTTTTTTTTTTGTGTAATGCAAGTACAAAAAGGCTGGTCCCACTATGTCTCTTCTTCTTCCAGTCTTTTTTTTTTGTGTGTGTGTGTAATGCTTTCTTGTGTGTTTCTCTGAATCTCTCAGCATCAAGCCGTTCTCCCAGCAGGCCTACCCTGTGCAGACAGCAGGGACCACCACAATCGCAGGTGAGAGGGACCATGGGACAATTATCTTCTTTCTGTAAAGCAGACCGTCAGCTCTCTCTCCTGCCATTTATGATGTTTCCTCACCGCAGGGTGGTCTTTGACTGCCAAGGCACATGGGTCCCTTGAACTACCGTCTTTGTCTCGCAAAGGAGGTCGAAAAATAGGGAAACGGTGTCAAACTGACTTTTCTCATAATTTAAGAGCCCTACGCTTACGCTTAGAAAATTTATTTAAAAGTAATATATTTGTTTTAAATTTATTTAAGCATATTATTGCCACCTAAATCAGAATTTCCAAATTAAAACATTTATTTGGGCTATTTGTTTCATTATTCACCATAAATGAGATGTTGACACATTTTTTAAACGATTTACAAATCCTAACGTAGCGGTATTTTTAAATTAATTTCACATTTGTTTTCATGAACTGTTGACAGGAGAACCCCCTCAAACAAATTAATTTTAATAATTACGTACTGTTTTTGACTCCCAACTAATGTTTAAAACATTAGTTTTAAACATTAGTTTAAACTAAACTAAACTAAACTTGTATTAAACTAATATTATTAGTTTAGAAACTAATACAAGTTTCTAAACTTGTATTAGGAAGATTTCCACCACCATTATACATAAACCTAAATGTTCCCATGACATTATGTTTAAGTGTGATTTGGCAACCGCTGCAGTTCAGCAACCACAACAGGATATACAAACATTTAAATCAAATCAAATCAAATTTTATGTGTATAGCACATTTCAACAGCAAGGCATTTCAAAGTGCTTTACATCATTAAACACAAAAACACAGTCATGTAACAGACTGTCTTTTTTTTTTCAGTAAAGATCTCCAGATTAATAATATTAACAAAAACATCTTATCAACATCTCATGCAAATGTGAACACATTTTAAGATTAACAGCTTTCAAAGTTCCTATCTTAAATACAAGTCAATCATCTTCAGCTTCAGCTTCTACATGGTGTGGAAAATAAAGAGTACATCAGTTTAACAGTGCACTTTCTGGTTAAATGGCTCCATCCAGTAAAAAAAAAAAAAAAAAAAGTAGCTAAGCACAGCAGCGGGAAAAAACAAAAAGATACTTTCAGAAATATTTTCTGACACTATCAGCGCCATGATGGCGTTGATTTGGGTTTGTAACTGTGTGTTTTGGTGCGTTTTTGGTCAGCCTACGAGCCTGCTGCTGCAGCCCAAACACACAGAGAGCCAGCATGGCAGGGGCGATCCATCGGCACCACCAAACTACGACTGGTGGAGTTTTCATCTTTCTTAGAGACACAGAGGGATCAGGAAGCCGTGAGTATATACACACACACACACACACACGCACACACATGCACAACCCCACACCCACGCACGCACACAGACAGAGACAGCAGTCTACAATAAGCACTCCCTATTGTCCTATAAACAGAGATGACAGATAACCCTACAGCAGAGAACAGCATTAAAGCCCTTTGTGTGTCTCCTTGTATGAATAACCTTTGTAAAGCTCTATCTCTCCGTCTGCTCAGCCTATCTGTCATCTTGCCACATCGGGGACTCATTGTCATTTTTCTACCTTGGGCTCACAGACAGCTGGCATTCATCTTGTTGCTTTCTGTTTGGACAGTACATAAAAATGTTCTACAATGGCTTTGAAATGGATTCTATTGTGCAGCGGCGTCACCTTCCCCGCATGATTTATTCTACTGTAAATAGACGGAGCTGGAAGCGTCCTTAAAGGCAGACCACGTCACAGTGGAACGAAAATCCATAACTAACCTCTATTAGTTTGACAAATGTCTCGGGTTTTTATTCGTAGTTTAAAACTTGGATTTTTAAACTCAAATTCGCTTGTCGTGCCTTCAAATTTTACAAAACAGATCATTCTTGATCAGAGTCAGAATGATCATTCTAACACAAAAACACAGCAGGATACAGTCATCAGGGCTTGTCAATTGTGTTATTTTTAACAGTGTGCCTTTAATCAGAATAATGGGTGGCACTGCTTTTATTTTGCACATCTTGGCTGTTGGTGTTTTTTTGTCACTGAAAATATTTCCGAACCAGATTTTCCTCTTCCTTAAAATAGAGGGAAATGTAGATTAGTCTTCTTCTCAGTCAGCTGACTGACAATGTACAGCAACATGCAGAGGAGGGGCAATTTATATGCTCAATATAATCCAAGGAACTCTAATTAGTATACATTTTTCTCTGAAATTTCATGGAAAACAAATTAAAGAGTGAGATTTTGCTAACATCTGATTAGACGGGAAACATCACCGACCAATTCATTGTTAGTTCACGAGTTTTTTTTTTTCAAACAGATCATCATTACCAGACGTTTTCATCTTTATCATCCCCCACATGTGTAAAATTCAGAACCTTGAAACATATTTATTGCTAAAATGTTAAGATTCAGACTGATGTGACTCACATGTTACAGAGAAAATTGGCACAATGGATGTGAGGATGTTAAATGTACTTTTCCAACTCTTGATTTACCTATACCCTCTTTGCAGTACAACAAGCACCTGTTTGTGCACATCAGCCAGAGCAACCCGAGCTACAGCGACCCGCTGCTGGAGTGTGTGGACATCAGGCAAATCTACGACAAGTTCCCCGAGAAGAAGGGAGGTCTGAAGGAGCTTTTCAGCAAGGGCCCGCAGAACGCGTTCTACCTTATCAAGTTCTGGGTAAAGAAATGTGCTAATTTGTCTTTATGATCTGATTTTTGAAAAATAAAATATTTCTGTCCTATGAGTATTTTTAAAAAAATTGCCCAAGTGCAAATTACCTTCACTGTAAAAGTGCTCCGTACTTTTCCATGCAGGGTTGTCTTTGTCTGCACTTCCAGGTGTGTGTGTGTGTGTGTGTGTGTGTGTGTGTGTGTGTGTGTGTGTGTGTGTGTACTTGTGTGTGCTGTGTCTTTCCACCTGGGATATAGAGGTGGTGGGTTGATGAAAGCTCAGTCGCTTTGTTTGAACACCTGCTCACCTCCTGACTCAGAGGTTGCTCTGCCTCTCCTGTGTGTGTGTGTGTGTGTGCGTGTGTGCGTGTGTGCGCGTGTTTAAAGTATGTTTCTCACTTCGTTGTTCTTTCTCCAAATGCTTCAGGCCAATTTATAAAACTTTCAAGAATTTTGCCCTCAAAATAACTCATCTGTGACAGCTGTGACACAGCGGGTTGCCTTCTGCAAACCAAGTTTAACAAGTGAAAGAATCGATGGGCTTTATATTTATATACGCCATCAGGAAACACATGACTCCACATTAGCATATACATAGCATTTCTTAACTTTGTAATAGTGAAGGGAAGAACAGGTAGACGTTCAAGATTGGGCTGAAAGTATGTTATTGCTTTTACTGTACAGAATATATTAGCAAAACAAATGAAGTCCCAGAACCTTGAGACAAGATAATGTCATTATGTTTGATGCATAACAAAGTTATGCCTAAGTAAGAAAAGGTCAAGTTGTATAAATTCCAGGTACTTTTCTCTCCTGCAGGTAATAAAGTCTTAAATTCAGTAACAGCTACAAAACTCCATGGACGCACACATAACCCTCGGCTTTCTTAATGAGATCTAAGACTGAGACGAAGTCTAGCTGTGTTAATTTCAGTTTATGTATTTAGTGCCAGTTTGCAACAAACGTCACCCAAAAGGCACGTCACGAAATCTCCGATTATGACGGAACACATAACCAGTCAATCCAACAATATCTAAACCTTTAGATAATGAAATTCAGCTACATAGATTCCATTTAGATATTGATTGCATCACAGTAATAATACATTCAGCCTATTTTCCTAATTAACAAAAATGTATCTGAGAAGATCCAGTGGATTGCCAAGTCATTGACTTTGCTGCATTTTCTGCTCCTGAGCAAGTATCTGGCGACAGTGGACAGGTGATTGCATTAAGCTGTTGACTTAGCAATCAGTCTTCCTGAGCGGGCATGTATCTCAGCAAAACTGCTGTAATTTGATGGGATATTAACTTGCGTCTTCGGAACTTGATAAGCAAATGAGGTCATTTATCTCTATGAACATGATGTGTTGGAACAGGCAGGACAGTGTATATTGAGGGCCAGGTTCAGTGGCTTCACTTCTACTCTTAAGTTATTATTTATGGGTTCCAAGCTGGGTAAAATTTACAACAATGTAAATACCAAGACATACCTACCAAGATTGTGTTTTACAAGCTGTGATATGAAGTGCAGTTGCGGGTTTTGCATTAAAATCTGCGATATTGTGCGTTACCCTACTGGATGTGGCCATGAGAATATGTGCAATTTTATGCACAAGTTCAGCAACAAAACTGAAGAAAATTATGGTGTTTAAACTATGCTGAATTTGCACTGAGGGCCCCAACGTGTGCCAAGAAAATATCCACCCTCATCTCTATCACCAGTCTGAACCATTAATATTTGGTAGGGTGGATCCATGCTTTCATCTTGCTTACACCCCACTGTGATCATACACTCTGCGTGTTGCGGGTGACGTCAAAACTCACAAGACTGGGAGATTTTTTTATAGGCTTGCATTGATAATAGTACTTGCAACTAGAACGCTCTGAAATCACTCCCAACTCAGACTTTAAAAACAAAATCTAATGTAGAATTAGCACCAGATGATGAAGCACATGATTGCTGAGCTCATTAATGGCGTTGTGGTATCCAATGAGTGCAGTAAAGAGATTAAGGTGTTTGAAAGACTAAGCAGCCACCATGAGGTCATCCCCTAGTTTAACACTGCTTGCCACCAGCACACCAATTATAAGGAGTGAGTTCAGCTAATGAAGCCATACTAGCTCATGGGGAACATCTATTGATTCAGCGTTTTATGAAAGAGAATGGGAGTCTATTGCAGCTACCCCCTACAGACTGTCAGAGGTATTGCACTTTAAGTCACTGAACGGCAACATAAATCTATACGTTAGGGTGGATTTACTGTATTTCAACTGTGATGTTGTTTCTAGGTGCATCAATTTAACCATGTGATGAATCTACTGCGTTCATTGTCCATACATAAGATGTGAATAGCAGTGTCATTTTTTTGGAAACAACATCAAATTGTTCTAGATACTAACGAGACTAATCGGGGTAACGTGGGCTTGCATCACACTTAATTCACAAAAGCAAACTTTAGACTTTATATAGACTCGTGCTTCAAAGTCTCAATTCGACTCCAACACAACGTCTGAGACTGAAGTCTCAGGAACGATGCTTATGTCACGTAATCAGGGGGGGGAGCTGGTGAGTGTGGATCATTTGAATAAATCATGAGTTTTTGTCTTTTTTCGCGTTACCGTGGAGGCGCCTAAGTCCGGTCCTCCAGAGTTTCCGTCCTGCAACTTTTACATGCATCCCTTCTCCAACACACCTGAGTCGAATGGCTGAATGTCTTCATCAGCACATCATTCAGCTCCACAGAGGCCTGGAAATGAGCCATTCATCTGATTCAGGTGTGTTTGTTGTAGTGTATGTATACAACTGAATCGCATCGAATCTGAGCCCCACTCACCGGCTTTGGCAGAAATTAGCTTCACCTGTTAAAACACATTTTATTTTTTACAAGGGCGATTTATAAATAATGGGTTGTTTAATGGTTTGATAAAAAAATTAAATAACTAAGCCATTTATTTTGGCTTTATAATAATGGTCGCATAGACAACTATCAAACTGAACCGTTTGAAATGAGTCGTTTCCTAACAAAAACTTACCTTCAACTTTTCCCAGTCACGCGCACCATCACCGCCACAGCTGTCCAATCAGATTATTTCTTTGACATTATGTACTGAGTTTTATTTTTCATTACAAAGAAAATGATCAACTCCAGAACATTGAAATTATACTAAAAGGATCCCAATATGGCTGATTAGATGTACAAGAAAACTGAAAAGCATCACCATTCTGAATGTGGGAATTAGCCTGATAAAACTCCCTACGTTGTCCTAAATTAAATAATTTCCCAAAAACTTGACTCAATTTAAAAAGTAATTATCAAAATCCTAAAGAGAAATCAGAAAAGAAAATCAAAAACTGCTCCAGTCCAGTTTGTGGCAGTGGCGTAGACATAAAGCAAACATCAACCTGTTGCTATGGTAATCTATATCACTTGCTCTCAGTGTTGAAACATTTCCACAAGCCAATGAAATGCCATGGCAACATCATTGGTTCAAACCTCAGCACATATCTGAGTTGCATGGAAAACAAAACTTTTAGAGGATAGTATTTAGAAATGATGACAGTCCTGTTTGCTTTTGGAAAATGTTGTTTTGCTTTAACTTAAAAAGGCAATAAATACCTAGTAGTTAATTTCTTTCAATATTCTCAGTTTTATTGCTTTGGGTTTTTATTTTTGGTAAAACCTCAGCAACAGGCACAAAAACCGATTACTACTTCACTTGTCAGAGACGAATTCAAAGCAAATAGCCTCCATCTTCCTGACTGCTGCTAGAAAACTTTGACTGGAGAATCCCTTCTGTGCATGGACGGCAAAGCTGTCGGTCAGCAGAATTCATAGACAGGAGGGCAGAAACCTGCAGAGTAGTGAAGTGGGCTCGGTGTACAATAAGAGCAGAACTGATGAGATATACTCAAACAAAGAGCGAGTTTGTGCATTATGTCGAGAGCCTCCTCTCTGAATTTAATTAAAAAGCTCTCAGATCTACCACAATGGAGCATGTTTCTGATAATCTGCTGCTTTAACAGAGCTCAGTTTGATCTTGGTGTGTGTGTGCGCATGCATGTGTGTGTGTGTGTGTGGATGACTGCTGTACAATGTTGGTGGTGTAGCATATGGTGTTTGTGCATCTGTGTGTGTTTGCTCACAGCTCGGAGACGCTCAGTACTCCTTAGAGAACTCATTACAGAAAGGGACAAACCCTTCCCACGTCTCCCGACCTGTAATCCAGGTACAGCATGTTCTCGATGCTCTGATTAAACATTTTTCTTCTTTAGTAACAGAGCTATGAATACAGATATCGCGTTAACGCCAACAACTTCACCAGAACTCGTATGACAGAACAAACAAATTAAGTTTCCGCAGGGTCTTAAAAAGTGCTGAGCTTCAATGTCTCGGTTGAAAATATTTTTTTGTTGCCTCTTAAAGTTATAGTGCTTTAGTTTCTGCAAGGAACCTTTTGTTTTCCCACTTGGGAAGTGTTGTTAAACATTTAATCATTTCTCAAAACCTGTAAAAACAAAAACAAAAAAAACTAAAAAAATAAAAATCAACTCTTGAAACCTGAGCTATAAAATTAAAAATTTTCTCCTAATTTCCATGACATAAAAAAAATTACTATATCAATTCCTCCAAATATAACTTTTGCCAAATTTAATTTGTTACATGAATGACTGGTTGTACGTGCAGGGACATTTTACCACCAGAGGGCACTGTTGTCTTACTCCTAGAAATGCAGCTGTGCTGATGTCGCATTTTATCATCTTCTAGGTCGTTTCTTAGATGAATTCCTGCAACGTCCTAATTGATCTTTTTTCGGGGGTGTGTGTTGTCTTCAGGCGGATCTTAATTACATCGTACAGGATGAGTCTGCAGCTTTCTATGGTGTGACCAGCCAGTACGAGAGCTCAGAGAGCATGACCATCACCTGCTCCACAAAGGTCTGCTCCTTCGGCAAGCAGGTGGTCGAGAAAGTGGAGGTGAGTAGGACCCCAACTTTTTTTTTTTTTACATGCCGTTGATGTATTTATTAATTTTGTTTTATTTATTTATTTTTTATCAAACTTGATTAAAAATATAGAAATTAATTTAATTCAGGTTTGTAATTATCCTTGTTCAAAGCATATTTTTGTAGTTTTACTGATAAGTGAACGAAATGGTCAAAGCTATTTGGGATTTATACCAATTTGACATGTTGGCAGAGTGATGAGCTGTTATAGAATAAAAAGAAAAAACAATAACATATTATTCGTCCAGGTAATTTTGTTTTCAGATAAACCAAGAAACATTTCCTAAATTTGCTGATGCAAGGCTTTTCTTATAATACACACTCAGTAAACATACCATCACCTGTGTTTTCATCCAGTTTTTATGTTACAAATACCTAAACATAGCCTAACACCTTCTATGAAAATGTTTTCTTTAATTGGCCAAACTAAAGTTCACAATTGGAACTTTTAGAAATGCAGTCGTTCAGATGATTTTCCCCAAACGATTTGGGACTGATGAGCACCATTCACAAGAGCATGTATGGAAGTGACAGGTAAAATGAACAAAGAGAAATCACCCTAACCCTGTTCCCTCCCGGCTGTCCAACAGACGGAGCATGCCAGGTTTGAAAATGGACGGTTCGTCTACAGAATCAGTCGCTCTCCCATGTGTGAATACATGATCAACTTCATCCACAAGCTGAAGCACCTTCCGGAGAAATACATGATGAACAGCGTGCTGGAGAACTTCACGATTCTGCTGGTGAGGGCTTTAAAATAAAACCATTAATTTAAGTTTCTTTTTTTTTTTATATACCGTATTTTCCGCACTATAAGGCGCACCGGATTATAAGGCGCACCTTCAATGAATGGCCTATTTTAAAACTTTTTTCATATATAAGGAGACGCTACAGTAGAGGCTGGAGTTACGTTATGCATCCACTAGATGGAGCTGCACTAAAAGGAATGTCAACAAAACAGTCCGACTCCTGTCGGGAGGAGAGCCTTCCACGACTGGGCCGGGGCGTGGCCGGACGATGGTCACCCTTCTCCGTTCGCGCACAGCATGTTGGTGGAGAACGCGGTGCTAAATGACCTGCAGACGACCTGATTCTAGACGGTAGGTAGGTAGATAGGTCAGTCAAACTTCATTAATAGATTACAAACCAGTGTTCTGACAACTATCCCAGCATGCACCACGCGCTTCTTCTTCTACGGGCGAAAATGAAGTCGGCGGCTGCTTACCGTAGTTGCTAGACCTGTTGTGGCTCAATATTGGTTCATATATAAGGCGCACCGGATTATAAGGCGCACTGTCGGCTTTTGAGGAAATTGAAGGTTTTTAGGTGCGCCTTATAGTGCGGAAAATACGGTACTTTAAATATGTATTTTTTTTATGTAACAATGTTTGATATATTTCAGTAAGTGAATATCTAGCTTACCCAATTACACTGTTCCCGTCAGAAGCTGACACATTTCATATTAATTCCTGCCCTCTGTAACATCTGCCATCAGTTTATAGCAAATTTGATTCAAAAACGACCAAGGACTCTGAAAATGCCTGGCATTTTTTACATGCATAATGTGTAGCCAGCCTTTTTTTTTTTTTTTTTTTTTTTTTTTAAAAACCTCAAATTATTTTTTGGTGTGGTGGTTTTGAGTTTACTGTGGGTAATTTTTCCCCACCTTCTAGA